AGGGTGGAAACAAAAGTAGAAAACTCATTTACTGTATATTGGTATAAATTATTTCTTGAATTTAAACTATAGAGTGAAATTTGTATATCTTGATTTTTTTTTTCAACTCCAAAATGTCATTGCGTCCTTTTTGCCTCAGGTCATGGTTAAGTTAACTTTCACGCAAAAAAAAAAATAAAAATATGATGTGGTTTTGACATAGATAAGTATTTTAAAAGCCAGACTAAACATTATCATTAGACTATTTGTGAGGATTCCGGGCTTAAAGTGGGCATAGCAGTATTAAAGGATAAGAAATCTGGTAGGAAAAGTAATTAGCTGCAGTGGTGGATCAATGTACTCGCTGATACAACCTTCTGATTTCATTAACTCGAGTGTCGTGCTACTTGAAATTAAAATCTGAGGGAAAATTCAGCAACCAAAATGATCTGAAAAATATAGAAATTCTCTCCTTCACCTTCAAAGTAACTAATTACAGTATTAAATTTCTGAAGTTTTGTATTTAGAAAATGTAATTTTACAAACATAATAAAAAACACTCCATGTTCCACTCTTGCTAAAAACAAGTCAAACCAAATAGAAATTTGTAATGCACTTAGCCTGCATGACCTGTTCATTCACCAATAGGAATTCATCAATTTGAGTTATTCATCCAGCAACATAAATAAGTGTTTATTTATGGAACTAAATTGGCTAATACAGTGTGGCACACATGTGTAACGACGCACGGTGATTAAATATATCTGCTAGTAAAAGACACTATCCAATACGCTCAGATCTCAAATGTACAATCTGCTATGAATCAAACAGGCATCGGGCAGTAATCACATCAGTCATTTCAAGTGTTGTGTAGCAAAGTGGGGAACACTTGCACAGAAAGGAACAAAACACAACAACTGAGTCAACATTGCGAGAACCTGTCAACAGCTAAAGACGTTATCTAAAATTTCCGTGAACATATGATGAGATAAGAATCAAACAACTGAATAAATCGCCCGCTTTACTGCTGCTGTGATGTTCGACAAACTGCTTCTTTGAACTTTGTAGCATCATATCACATGGCGGATGAACTAAATCGATAATGGTTGTAATCAGCCACTGGCAATCAGCCAGCGTTTTACTGACTGTATTTTCGTTGCATGGAGATAATATTCAACCCCCTTTTCCTTCATGAAAACACAAGTCAGACGTCGATGCCGTGTCAGAAAGTTCATATTATCTTAGCGAGCAGGCAGCAGATCTTGTAAGATCAGGCGCCATGGCTGTTGCTCATTTGACAGAGCAAAGGAAGAGCTTGTCAGGGAAACAGCTCGTGTCGCCGGTACTTAAAAGGTCAGCGAACTGAACCCCAACCCCTGGTCCGCCCTCACGCCCGTCTGTCTGTCACCAGTTCCCCCCTCTTCCAAGCGGGTCTCCTCCTGCCCTAGTCTGGGCCGCTATCACCCATCGTCGTCCCCTCCGAGCTGTCCCCCTTTGATGACCCAGGCTTCTTGTCAGGGAAGAGCTTCCAGGCAGGCAGAGTGAGGACAGGCCTTTGATGAGGACCCCGTCACTTGCCAGCGCCAGTGACATGCAGCGGAGGCCTTTGAAGAGGCAGGGCCTTACATGTACCCATTTGTCCACACTCACACGTGCTTCAAGCATCCTCAGATGGAGAGACGGAGAAGGAGAAGAAGACGACGATTAGGGCACAGTATTGAAAACGCCTTCCTTTGACTGCCTTCCTTGCTCTCTGATGGTTTTAATGAAGGCATTTGAATTTTTTGCTTTCGTCTTGAGCTCGAGAATCTGCCAGAGTGAAACCACAAACAATAGATGTATCGGGCGGGAGACAAAAAGAGTCCATGATGCTGTCAGAAATGGTAGAAAAGGTCACAGAAGCTTTGTTGTATTTTTGCTTTCATTTTTCTGAACGGATAAAAGCTGAATGGGAGACGTGAAACGTTCCAGGATTGGTTACTTTTTCGATTTGTTCCCGACAACATTTCTCTGTTATATCTTGAGAAATTGTTGTTGAATGGCAGGTGAGAGAGATCGGTGGCTGCTGCTCCCCACAAATAACTGTTAGCATCTCAAAAAACATACTTTGACATGTTTGGTCACCTTAGTACGAGTCTGACTCTCCCCTCCCGATACAACTGTAATTGGTTTAAAGAAATCCAAACACACCGAAGATCTTTCCCCCCGAAAGCAGAAAAACAATGAGGTGCAGTCAGACCGTTCTAACAGCACTGTGTTAGCGCTAGGGAATGGTCTTCCAGTGCAAGACTGCGTTACGACTTTTCTGAATGTGATTTTAAACTGATGGCATATTTCTGTAGTAGCATCAGAAGCCCATGCCCTACTTCTGTTTGGGGTTTTAGATCATCCCTGGGTAGATACCATGGATTTCCAGTTGCCATTGGTGTTGACATACCAAAGCAGTACCTCCTACGATTCCCTTTTTTTTCATCTGTGATTGACTTTTTTTAGCAAACAAACTGAATACATGTTCAAACATTGGTAACTTTGCATCTCTATAGATTATTTTTTTTACAGATACAACAGTGGGAACGTTGGAATCCCACAAAAAACAAGATGTAAAGTCAATCTTTCAGCTCTCTGAAGGCTGTTCTCATACAAAAGACTACAACGATACCCAAATCAGAGCCAGTACAGCTACTAAATGGCAGCTGTTTTCAAAGACAGTTGCGGTCAGGCAGCCCAAGTGTTCCTGTCCTCCAGCTGTGAATGCGATTTAGCTTTGCCAGCACAGTGTCATGGCACAACTATTGTTATGTCTGCCTGAAAAGCAAACAGACATTGTTTGACACCACTGCTAAATCACCAGTCAAAACAATCGTAATCAACCACGAATAGACTTCAGACTTGGCCACATCCAAGCGCCGTGTCATACAAGGTAATAAAGTGTGTGACGTCTGTTGGCACAGCTACAGTTGTTGACATCGAATGGGTACTTAAGGTCGCTTGATTTCAACAAATGGATCCCTGTACGATTTCCAGACAGCACAAAGAGACATTCCTTTGTGCTGCACCTGCGTGTGGAACAAAGTTATAACATCGATCCACATTCTTCACCCTGGAAGTCGTGGTTGACATTGGCGATGACCATCACGGGCCGTTCTCACACACATTCGAAGCAGCAAAAGTAATTCACATCACCTTCAAGCGTGCCCAGAAAGACCCATTATTCCCAATGATGCCACAAAGAGCACAATGTTTATTGATAGAAAAGGTGGTGGGGGGGTAGGAGAAAGAACTTCTCATACATTTTCCTCATTCCTCTCTTCTCAATGTGGCCTTTTTAGTCTGGCTATGTGGAGTAATGATTAACACGGTCAGGCATGGGAAGAGACTGGCCGGTACAATGGAGGGGGTTGTTTAGGTTCTCCAACCCGCCGCTTCACCTGTGACAGCTTCCCAAGTTCACCTGGCAGGTCCCTGGGAGCCAGCGGCTGGCATTCGGGCAGCAACAAAAAAAAAAAAAACGGACTACTTAATCATTATCATCTGTGGAATCAGTCAGAAACTCCTGGCAATGAGCAAACAGATAAACCTGGCAACGTTGTTAAATCAGGCACGTAGCAAAGCGCTTAACTGACTGTGGAAAGGTTCACATGAGAAAGCTTTAGAGTGTGTACAGGGGACTTTTGAGCTTTGGGTAGGGTTGAAAAAAACACAATGCCCATGATACGCAACTGATCAATAGCGATTGACCTGTGAGCGAGCTTAGCCTGCAAACAGCTGCCAGCGATATTAACAAGGCAGACGTGGTGCCTCAGCTTTTAGATTTAAGGGCTCTATACTGCACGCAGCATCCAAACTATAGTATGGCTTTCGGGGGGTAGCTCACTTTTTTTTTTTGACTTTTTCATGGTCAGAAACTACAGAAAGCACTTCTTTTATTTAATATTATTCTTTTTTAAATAAGAATAAAAGAACCCGCTGGTTAGGGACTACTTGGTTAGGGAGGGTTTGTTATTCCGTTTGGTTTTACGGTGGTTGGTCTGAAGAACGCTTGTGAAGACACAGAAAAATAGAAACGCATGGCAAAATTAGCATGTTGTCGATATTTTACAGATCCACCCCCAACTATTTACAAATCATGTTTTCAGGGAAGCTTTTCTCTCATTTTTAAATTTTTTTTTTTAGCTTTCCTTCGTTCCCCTGTAGTTCACTCTGACTATATGACTATAGCTTCTTCTTTTCTGTTCTTTTTTTTTTATTATTATTATTTTTAAGTAAGCCTTTATTTATCAAGGACAGAATTTATTTATCTTTTTAAACCAGAACTCAAAAGTCAGAATGATTTCATCTACCATGTAGAAATAACGTTCAGGGCTTTGTAAAAATTGATGTAGAGGCAAATCAGTTGATTGAGTATAAATATATAGACTAGTTTCCCATTTACAAATGATCCAAGGATGGTAGAGGAGATAGATGATACAACAATGTCATAATGACTTTTTTAGTATTTGGAAAAAAAACTGTAAAATGACTATTTAGAGGTAAATTGGCAGGAAGTCACATGTCAAACTGCTCAGCAAGGTTTTCATCATTGATCCTGTAAAACTATTACAGTATTAATGCCATGAACAAGTTTGATTTGTCTTACCTTACTCATCAGTTTCTGTGCAAAACTCTCTTATCAAGTACGGTTTACAGTTTGAACTAGCAGAGTGGTTTCGTTCTTGGGATATCAACATTTTCTACAAATTACTTCTTCAGTTTGTGCAGTTTGTGCATGCCAATCTGCTTTGGTTTATAAGCTCGACATGCACACACAGCTCAGTGGGTTGTCGGTTGGAAAACCCGTCTGCATAAACTTGTAGCTTCCACTGAGACAAAAGGCCCTGACACGCAATAACAGGCGACGATGAAAGACATACAATCGCCATTGATGACAGTTGTGTTACTGTGGATGTGACACTCAGTCACAAAGACTGTTGTTACAGCTGTACAGGAGAGGAAAGGCAAACAGTTGACCTGATGTGTGTGTGTTTTTTTTATGTATCTCTAACCAGGTGGATGACCAGATGAAGCTGCTGCAGAACTGCTGGAGTGAACTCCTCATCCTCGACCACGTCTTCCGGCAGGTGGTGCATGCCAAGGAGGGCTCCATCCTATTGGTCACTGGCCAGCAGGTGAGTCATTGATGGCCCACCCTTAAAAAAAATTTCCTTTTACTCTTTTCCTCCAAAATCCTGCCAACCTTGTGTTCCCATCACCCCCTTCACAACTCAACATCCCTTAAAGCTCTATTGATTTCTACCACACAGTCGTCTCCGCTTCATTAAAAATAAATAGCGCCAGCAGATCTAAACTAATGTCACCAAAATCATTAATTTTGACATTTTTGCAACAGCGAAAAAGAAAAGTAATCGGATGCGCGTGATGTAGCATCGTGAGTGGGTGGAGAGATTTTAAAAAATGTGTCTAAATGTGTTATTTCGTTTTACTGGGGTCTTTGAGGAAGTTGGCGGGAGCTGATGCCCGAGGCCCCAACAGAAGTCCTCAAAATACAGTATCAGGATACCGTGTGCTAATTTCTGTTTCTGCTTCACACACACACACACAGAGCATGCTGTCAAACAGTAAACACGCAAACCCAAAGCAAGCAGAGCAGACTCTTTCAGCGTTCGGTGATTCTCATAATCTCCAGCGCACAAAGGCGAGAGCAGACACACAAAGGTGTGAAACTGCTCATCATGAATATGCCTCTGACCAGTCGCATGGCTGTCAGTGAGATGAAGAGTCATACATTATTGATTGTCTTGCCTCTCCAAAACATTGCTGTGCAACAAAATGTTTTACAACAATAGATGCTGGTATAAATATTGGAGCAAGGCGTGTGCATGTGCGCCGCATGCAGGGGAGTCCTTTTAAATTCCCTCAATCTGAATGAACGCCCTGAAAGACAAGGTCAGGATAGACTTACAGAATAGGTGAAGACCTGTGGTAGGCAGCCATTACTACTACAGTAGGAGCAAGTACAAATCATGGTAAATATGAGAGTAGAAGTAATGGAACTAATATCTAATATGGGCTTAAACAAGTACAAGTCTGGCAGTGTCGCCAAGCTGATCTAGATCATTCTGATGTAGGACAAAGGAGCTGATGTTTGAAGGAACATGAAAAGAAAGGACTCAAAGAGAATGAGAAGTATTGAGGAAACAGGTAGTGGAGAGAGGGAGAAATGATGGAGGAAGGAAGAGTGGTTGCCAATTGATAGAAATTGACGGAGGGAGAAGACGATGGAGTGATGAGGAGAAAATGTGAGAAGAAAAGTGGAGGAAAAGGGAGAAGTCGAGTAAAAGGAGAGACAGTAAGTAAAAGAAAGGAGGCAGAATAAGGTGAAAGGAGGAAAAAGGAAAGGAGCTGAGGAGGGATCGGTGAGGAGATGATGAGGCGAAGCGGACGAGGCAGTTTGAAGAGACCAGAGAGCTGCTGAGGAGGAGGAGGAGGAGGAGGAGGAAGAGGAAGAGGAGGGGCTGGTAGTCAGGGGAGGCGCAGGGTGGCGGTTTCGTTTGCATACTTTGGTTAATGAACAGCTGGTGTTGAGGGGTGTGTGTTTGTGAATGTATGAGTGTGTGTGACCGTGTGTGTGTGTGTGTGTGAGAGAGAGGCTCTGAAACAGTTCATTATCTCCTATTATTCTCTGCCTGGCCAGGGGTGACAGCACAGCGATAATACCAGGGATATTTAAACCACAGCAACAGCATCACCCAAAGCAAACAGTACAGAAACACACAGGCGCACAAATGACGGTTTGAGCGAACAAACTACACTCTCCATTGACACAACATGTGTCTGTAATGGGCTATGTGTTTAAAACTGTGGGGGTTTTGGAGAACACTGCAATGCCATTTGACAAATGTCTGATTTTAATATGAGACAAGGTGCAGTTCCATGATATTATGACATTAATGCCTCAGTAAAAAGAAAAAAATATGAACTTTTTAAAGCCTGTCTTGTTTAGTTATACCAGAGATTTTCTATATTCTTAGGATCTTATCTGAAGTCCTCAGAAAGTGATATTAAGCTTCATAGAGGTAAAGATTTCTTAAAGTCAGTCTTGTAATTTTGTGGCATTAACCAAAGCAAACACTGACAGAAAATGCACCTAAACAGTGACTGAAAAGGCGAGAAAATGTTAAAAGAATACCAAAAAACCGGACATGAACACCTGTCTTTACACTCACGAGCTATGTGACATGAAACTTTTGAGTCACATGATTTGGACGCAGGCCAACAGCTTGTATATATAACTAACAAAATGCAGGGCTGTTTCTCCCCAAAAGCTGAATGTTGGTGCAAAATTCTGGATTTAGAAAGAAGCTTTTGCTCTTAATTGTGAACAGATACTGTAGTTTTTTTTCTTCAATAGCTAAAATGTCAAGGTTGGTGCTTTATAAATATGAATGTAAAATGCAGCATATCTCTGCATGCACACACACCAGCACATTATGAAGGGCATGTCAAAAGATGTTATGACACAAAGCAGCCATTTAGGAAAGCCATAGCCCATATTTATTTCATTGTTATACTGCATGAATGTCATTTTGTCCTCTAAGTTAAAATATATTTAATAATTCTTAATATTGTGAATCATTGCATGTAAAAAAAAAAAATCACAAAGTTTGTGTTAGGAACAACCCAGATGTCATCAGAAAGAGATTTTATTTATTTATTTTTTTTTAGAAAAATGCAACTTTTGGACAGAAACTTTGAATTTGAACAGATGTGTCGTTGCTTCTTCTTTGTATCAAGCTGTGCCTTTGCTCTTGCCAGTTATACACAACACTGACATTTGAAAAGAAATCCACTGAACTAGCTGATTAACTGTTATAGCCTGTCATTTGCTTCATGTCTTGCTCTTGTCCTTATGTTCCCTGTTCCTCGCTTGCTAATTCCCATCTTTTTTTTTTTCTTCTTCTTCTTCTTGTTTTCTGTCTATTTCTACTGCTGCATGTTGTCATGTCACCAACAGCAGTGAGGAATGGCCATGAGTGCTTGTTCTTTATCCTGTCATTGGATCAAACACGCAGTGCAACTTGTACAAATGTGCGCAAACGTGGAATGACAAAAAACTGGACCGATCTGTTGAATGATTAAGCAAGGCCTCACAGCTTGGCAGTCGGTTTCAGTATCAATCTTGATACTTTGATAGCACGACGCTCCTGGTGAGCATGAAATTCAAATGATGAAAAAGAAAAAAAAAAAAACAGACGTTCTTCCATCACTCATATATTTCTGTGCTTTCAAACAAGGTACATTTTCCATCTGCATCTCCCGCCCACATTAGCGCACTCTTAGCATCAAACTAATCTCGTCGTCCACATTTATCTTTAATGTTCTGCTAAGATCGCTCATCGCATTCATGATAGGTTAAGATTTGAAGGTTTATTCATATATTTACCCTCTATGTCTCTCCAGGAGGGATAATAAAGTAGTATTGATTGATTGATTGATACGCAGGTCACCAGAGTCAGAGTTAGTGCTAAGTCTGCTATAGTGACATTATAGCATCTTTTTTTCTTCTCTCTTTTTACTTAAGGCTGGGAGGCAATAACCCAAGGCATCACCATCAACAGTCCAATCCTTCAATGAACTTATTTCATGCACAGTTGATTTTATGTAAATTGATTGACACCTTGGAAGGGGGGCAGTGTCTGCTTTTCACAGAGCCATAACTCTTTCCGTCTCGAAGGTGGTGGGAAGGAAAGAGAGAGGGACAAAGGAGTTGGGACAAAGTGGGAGAGAGCGGTGCAGTAAAAGCATGAGGCAGGAAATAGAGGAGGGGGGGGAACGGCAGAGGATGAAAACCTGGTGCACTGTCAACATTTACTTCACGTTGACCCTTTTCTATTTGAAACAGATGAAAAAGATGAAAAGGGGGGCTCCAATCATCCTATTTACACAATAAATAAATTCCAAACCCAGGGCTGTTTTTAATTGCAAATGGGAGCTCGCAGGGAACCTTTTCCTCCCAGAGCTTTAGGAACTGCGCACGCCAACATCTACCTTCCCCTGGAAACCCTTGCACAGTCAATTATGGTAATGAATCGTCAATAAATATAAAAATTTAATATGGTCCTGCTTACTGTGAGTGGCAGCTAAGGACTTGCCTCCCAGACAAATATGCTGCGGCTGCAGATATGAAGTACACTTGAAAAAGGAGTGTGTAAGTGTGTGTTTATGTGCAATTGGATGGATGACTTAGATTTAAGGAAGATTGGATTACCGGGATAATCTATCTATCTATCTATCTATCTATCTATCTATCTATCTATCTATCTATCTATCTATCTATCTATCTATCTATCTATTATTGTTGCGGTACCCTACAAGCTTCTAGTGTTTGGGCGTTGAATAAAAAAAATCTGTTCCTGTAATTCTGTATAATTACACTTTGGGTCAAAAGCTCTCTTTGGCGTTGTACCTTTCCTTACATCTCTCTCTCCCTGCCTTTTTAAGGTGGACTATGCAGTGATTGCTTCACAGGCGGGAGCCACCCTCAACAATCTGTTGAGTCACGCCCAGGAGCTGGTGGCCAAACTACGCTCCCTGCAGCTGGACCAACGGGAGTTCGTCTGCCTCAAGTTCCTGGTCCTCTTCAGTCTGGGTGAGTCATTGAGAACAGGAGTGCGTGTGGAGGGTTACCGTCTCAGTGCAATTTAGTCTCAGCAGATAACATCTGATTATCTGACTTATCTCATATCACCTGCAACAAAGCGAAGAAGGTGATACAAGGAAGCAGGTATTGAAGAGCAACAAAGATTCCCGGTAGTCATAACTGATTTATGGAGGAACAGGAACAGGAGATTGGAAAAAGAAGAGAGGAAGATGATGTAGAAGGTGAGGAAGGAAATAAGAGACGAGTGGTCTGGAAGGTACAAAGGGGAAAGGAAGGAAGGAAGGAAGGAAGCAAGGAAAGGGGGGAGGTATGGTCACCTTTTAGTGAAGACAGGGAGAACGCAGGGATTTAAATGTATTTTTATGCACGAGTACCCTCAACAAATTTAGTCAAGTTTGAGTTTCTGGCCACAGTCATGCAAAGGATGAAAGGCCAGTTTGTGGTTTGGGCCTCCCCGTGTGCTGACCGACTCACATGGCTCTACACAACAATAGGTCCATGGCAGTCTGCACACTGATGGTCGCACTGCACACTTTTGAAGTTTCTGAAATACTGTCTTTGCACTTTTTACAGGATATGGCAGCTAATTACAGATTTGACTGTAGATGTGGTGAACACAGTGAAGTACCATAGCACAGGACTTCTGGAGAATTTAGAGCCAACCACTGTGTTTGGGCAGCATTGATAGACAAACATGGACAAATCAAAGCACCTCCCAAGTCTGGCAGCAACTACTTCAGTTACAACTCTTTTAATGTTGAATTATTAAGGAGTGAAATATGGAGAATTTCCCTGCAAAGCCTCTCCTCAAAACATTTCTTTTGAGCCCCATTTGTTTTCCTGGCACATGCAGTTGGTGTGATTGTACCGATACAGTCGCAACTGTTGAAGGGCTGTATGGATCCTTGATGAAATCTACACCATTCATATGTTTGTGGACACGCAGATGCGGAAAGCACGAATTGGCCTTAAGGGAGTGGATGGAAGTTTAGCTCTATTTCTTTTCTGCCTGAAGCGATTACCATAGGGAGGTCTGCTTTCTAACTATTCGCCATCTCGTAAGTATAGATCTATTACAGCAAATCCCCCACCTGGATCTTTCGCGGCACCTTCAACTCGGTGGTTTTACGAACTACTAGGGTTTGGTTGTTTGAGCTTCTGAGCTTTACAGCTGAGAGGAGAGAAGGAAGGAAGTTGGAGGGGAGATCAACTGAGGAGGTGAGAAGGGAGGAAGGAAAAGATGAGACAGAGGGGATAGGAGGAGGATGAAGTGGGGGAGAGTGGAAGTGAATCGGGAATTGGTGGAAAGCAGTTACCTGCCTGAAGTGTTTGGGGTAGACAGGTGAAGGGGGGGGCAGGTCGGGCTTGGAGGAGAGAGAGAGGGAGAGAGAGAGAGAGAGAGAGCATGGGATTTGGGAAGGAAGGGAAGTGTAGGGATAAGTAGCTAAATGAGTTAAGGGACAAAGAGAAGGGTAACGTTGATGGGATGTGAGTGTGTGTGTGCGCTCGCATGTGTGCGCCCAGATCCCAGAGCTGCTCTCCTCTCTCTAAGCCGAGGTCAGACATTGCCAGGAGACTGTCATCTCTGACTTTTTCCTAACAAGTCTGCAACAAATGACCTCTGGGGAATACACACACACTCGTCCGCACACACACACTCGACCAAACCTATTTTAACATCTTACATTACTGAAGCCAATGATGTCAAGGTAGCTTTGCTCAGTCTGGCCCTTGCATGGCACCGAGAACAACAGTGGCATACATATGATGAATATTTTCCTCATCCTTAGCTTCCCGCCCCTTCCCTACATCTAGGTATAATTCACAAGGGCCATGCTTTCACTTCTTTACCCCCTCTGAACAAAGAAAGAGGAACTAATGAACAGCACACACACACACCTACATGTGATCAGGCAGGATTAATGTTTGTGTTAGTGGAATTTGTAAAGAAAGACAGAGAGACGAGGGGGATTGCAGTGGGACTTAGGAGTGTGTATGTCCGTGCACATGCATGTGTTTGTTTGTGATGGGGGCTTTTTCATAGGGTGGGGATGTTGCCGGGGCTCAGGGTCTAAATAATTTGGCAGAAACATCATCCATAATGAAAGGCCCACCTGAGGGATGTGTATCGCCCCCGGCAGTGCCTGTTCTCCGGCGTTGCCCAGGCCTCCCGCAAAAGAAGCCCGACACAGATGCCGTAGAGCGGGCTGAGGGGATCAGTGGTGGTGGAGGGGGTGCTGGTGGGGATGGGGGGAAGGGGAGGAGCTTGAGCAATGTAAAGCTGAGAGATTTAGGAATTAAATCATATGTAACTGAGCAGATATGTGCATGTGATTGGCTGTGAGAAGGCTGGGACACTTACCTGTTTCTCTAAATGTGCGTCATGTGCATGGTGGTGGGAAAGCAGGTGTATATTCTGTTTGTTTAGACATCTGCTTGTGCCCTACAAGCAAAGCCAGTTAATAAAGACTGTAGTGAAATGAGGCATGAAAGTAGCTCTGTACTGACTACTGAACGAAAACATGAGACTCTTGATTAGCTTTAATAAACCTCTCACACTGGTCACTGTACTCACTAATAAAACAGGATGTATTCATCTTACCATAGGTTTGATACCAGGAACTACAGTTTGTTCTCCTTCACTGTTACTGTCTTACTACACAGTGTATTTACATACATTAGTTTCTCTCCATTAGACTGGTTCCTTCAATATCATGTGAATAAGAAACTTGGCTTTGGTATTCCAGGTTTGGGATTAACAAAACCAGATAATGCAGATTGTAGTGGCGCTCTGTTCCGTCGTCTTCTGTCAGAAGTCAGTCTAGCAGCAAGTATTTGAAACGCGAGTGAGATTTGGTTTAATAAGAAATAGGAAATATACAAAATCACACAGTCAAAAAACTATGTCGCTTCCAACGTCTCTGGCTCCAATCTGACGAACTGAGCCTCATAAGCAGCATTACAATGACGCAGCATTACTTTGCTCAACTTAACATTCCTAAATTATGCATTTTATTAAATACGTTCTTCCAGAATCACAATAAAGTTATCAATCTTTAATGTTACCACTTTGCTGTCAACTGAAATATCATCAAACGTAGAATAATGAATATGGCTCTAACACATATTTATCTGCTGTTTCGACACAGCTTTTTGCAAAACTAAGAAAACATCTGCTCGAAGTTTGTTTGTGTGAATTTTCTTCTCCTAGTAGATACTGCTATCATTATGTCTACCGTCAGTAGCACTGCATATTGATGATTGTGCAACTCACAATTAAGAGCCAAAATATCGTGCCGGATCAGGAAGTAACGCCAAGGTTTGGCTGGACACACTTTACATTCTATTATACAGGTCATTTTTGCCCCTTAACTACCCCTGATCGATCTCTAACCTTAACTAAATGCTAAATTTACCTAACTTTAGCTAACCATTCTTTTATTTCCCCAACTGTGTTTCTTATGGATTACATTTCTGTACAACCTAATTATAACAGCAAACATATTTAGAGATAAACGTAAGTACAACCAGATTATATTATCTGCTCCCATAATAGGAAAATGTTTAAGCAGTTTGGATCAGTGGAACATATTAGTTACTGCTTAACTGATAGTATACATGTATATTTTTTGCCAAAATATCGGATTTTGCAGCACAGTGCCCACTTGTACTGTCTATGTTCATGCAGGCACAGAGGGGGAGCAGAAAAAGTCCACAGTGACATAAAACACAATCCATATTGATATTTAATCAAAACCATGACTTCTTTCCAACCTCAATCAGTGTCCTTATGTTGCTTAAACCTACCACAGAGAGAAGTCTGTAACTTAAATCTGGTGTCCGGTATGAGGGTTGTGCATGTTATGTACCCTCCATCCACCCCAACCACCTCCTGCACCCGTTCAAAAAGATCCATCCATCATCTATACACCACTTAATCCTCACTAGGGTCATGGGGGGCTGGAGTCTATCCCAGCTGACTCAGGGTGAAGGCAGGTTCACCTGGACAGGTCACCAGTCTATCACAGGGCTACACTTAGAGACAGACAACCAAGCACACTCACATTCACACCTACGGACAATTTAGAATCACCAATTAACCTCAACATGTTTTTGGACTTTTGGGAGGAAGCCGGAGAACCCGGAGAGAACCCACGCTGCACGGAGAGAACATGGAGACTCCACGCAGAAAGACACAAACCGGCGACCTTCTTGCTGCGAGGCAACAGTGCTAACCAACTGCGCCACCTTGCAGCCCCCGTTCAAAGAGATGCTGAATGTAATGCAGTCAGTAATTATATTGTACATACAAGAAATCGAGAAAACAGTTTACAAGTATAGGAAGATTTAGTTATGGATCCTCTATAGCTACACTTAACCTTTTGCAGAAAGCAAGAATTTTAAAAATATTCTCATTAGACATAAAACACAACTGAACATAAACATGGTGGTACACAATCATTCAGCATTCAATTTCCTCTCTGGCAATATATAGATATATATTTAACTCTTACAATACTACCAGTAGCACTACCAGCCTGCTCTCATGGGAAGGTGTGTGAATAACATGCCAAGTCTCTTCAAGTGCGCTTTTTGCATTTTGCATGTCATTCTATGTCATGTTGTAGCAACAAATCCCTCTCCCCCTTTGCCTTAACCTTTATCTTGTCTTATTTTAACACAATATGCCAGACAAGACACAAAAATCATAAAAAGAAATCACAGAAAGTGCCAGAAGTGGTGTGCTATTTATAAGCGATCCCACTGCATCACGTTCCCACAACAACTAGTGATTTGAGATGTGAGTCAGGGAGGTGGTGGTGTAGTTTGTAATTCTCTGTCTTTCTCAATAGTTTTGTTTGTGTCTTGATTTTCTCACTATATCTTCCTCTATCTACAACTCTCACTTCTCTCGTTTTTGTTTTTTTTTTCTCCCTGTGGATGGACAATCAGTCACCTCCTCCCTGCCAGAGGAGCTTTTAGTTAAG